ATTTATTTTAAAATGATATTTAAAATTAATTATCTAAATTTTAACTAAGTACTCTAATATCCAATTCTATAAAAATAAGTATCTTTCATTTGTTTTGGTTTTAGATTTTAGATTGCCAAACCAATATAACCCGAATCCGAACGATATATGGTTACTTTATTGATTTTAGAATGTGTACAAATTAGAACCAAACCCGACGTGTTATATTTGAATCTGATCCATACTTATAAACATGTCTACTTACATATTATGACATCTATGATGTGATATAAATTAGCTTGATTCAAAATATTTGACCCGTATTCCAATAAGTACTTGAATTCCCAAGCATAACTTATATTATGTTTTATATTTTGTTAAATTAATTTTATATTTGATAAATATTTTGTCTGTTTATTAGAATAACCCGTAAAATTATAATCATAAGAATATCAGTAATAATCGAAAATGATGATTAATTATTATATAGTATAGATTAATTATTGTTAGAAAATGATGATTTTATTATTTTTAAAAATAAACTATATAATTTTTAAAGTTAAAATAAAAATATATAAATAATTAACTTATACTATTACAATACTAAATTATATAAGTTTAATTTAAACATGTAATTTATTATAATATCTATAAATCCAATGGATTATCTAATTTTTATTAGCCCAATAAAAATTTCTACTAAGCCCAATAAATGCTATTAGTGAATCTAATAAATGTTATTAATGATTGAATAATGTAATGTCATAAATTCTATTAGATGGTCCATTTTAAAATATCACACATGAAGTGAAGTTATGACCTCTTTTAATATATAAGACTAGATTTTGACCCGCACTTTGAAAGTGCGAATATTTAGGATTTATAAAACTTTTTGATATGAGTTAGTATTATGAAATTGTATAATAGAAGTAGAGAATTTGGTTAAAATTAATTTATTAATTAGTTTATTTAAAATTTTGTATGTGCATTTTTATGTAACATAATCTTAGGTATAAGTATATAACTGGGATTCAAAAAACATAACTGAAACTAATCTTAAAATATAGGGTTGGTTCTGGTCTAAGGAAAAAAACTCATTAAATTGTTTTTTGGACATGCGCGTCTCGGTTCGTGTCCGGATCTTACCTGTGATCCGATGGATCCTACTTGAGACCCGATCGAAAAATATTCAAAATTTTTGTGTATAATAGGTATATTTGATTATTTTGGATATGCTTTGGTATTACAAATACTCTTTGAATTTTCACATTTGGGGTTTAGGTTATAGTTCCGAGTTTCAGGTAAAAGTTTAAAATACTTTCAGGTTTTCGGAATGTTTATGGGTAGTTTTCGTTAATCGGGTTAGTTACAGTAAAATTTATGGTATTTTCGTTATTTGAACATTTTTGGGGGTGCTTGTTTTGGTTTTTGGCAATTTGTTCGAATTTTGAAGTATATTTTGGATTTTTGGGTATTTTGAATTTTCTCGGGTCCTAAATAACTAAATCGATATGAATTTGTTACGTACCCAAAATTTATAAATATTTTACAGGTATTTGAATTATAGATCCAAATTGACCCGGACCAAAAAAGACGATCTAAGTTAAAACCGATCCAAGAAAAAAAATTAACTCATAAAAAGAAAAACAAAAACAAAAACCATCAATGATGTCTTGGTCGTGTTGTTTAACTACTTAATCAGCATGTTTTGTATTCCTCTGAGATAACTTTTTTTCTTCTAAATTATTGCTTCTATCTCTTCTAAGCTTAACCTCTTTTCTTTCTCCAAACTCACTGGTTCAATTGCTTCCTCTACTTCTTGATTGGAGCTCCAATTTTCTCTTTTAATAGCATCGACACACTGCTTTTGTTCCTCTTCTGATTGTGGGTTATCTGAGGCCCAAGAGTGTCTAGCGGACTCACAAGCACCATGAAAAGCAGTCTCCTCTTGGCTATGTGGCTTAGCTTCATTCCTATGACTTATTGAGCTCTGATTCAGTACAGAATGGATGAGAAGATCGACCATAAAATCAGTTGTGCAGGTTCATGTTGTTTTAACTATGTTCTGCTATAAATGTGACGTTTGAGTTAGTTAACTTTACCCTTGTCAATTAACAACAGGCAAAATTAAACCATCTGAAAAGTGGCTGAGAGGCAAAACAAAGCTCAAAGTACACCAATATTTAATACCTTAATTATCGTGCCTTTTAGTAGTCTTAGGGCTTGATTGGTAGAGCATTAGCACAAGCATGCTCTCTATTATCCAATCAACATTTGCCAAAGAAGCATTTGGAAAAGCATTTACCAAATGCTAATGCTCTCCAAATGCTATTTGCTCAATGCTCTCCAATAGAGCTTTTGGTAGAGCATTTGCATTTACAATATATAAAAAATTTAAAAATAATTATACATAATTATTTTATTTTAGTTTAAGAATACAAAAAAATATTTTTATACTCAAAAATAAATTTATATTTTAAAAATTAAAATAAAATTATACTTAAATATTTTTAAATTATATAAAAGAACAATATTTCACATTTAAAATATAATATAATTTATATAATTACATATATCATTCATTATTTTTAATAACAAGCATAACATAATATTTATTTATATATTATAAATATAAACATATATATATATATATATATATATTAATTATACATTAATAAATAAATTATATAACATATATTAATTTTTAGGATAATTTTATACATGAATCATTTACTGCTCTATCAATAAATAATAATAATTTACATATAATTTTTATATAATTTATTTATATATTTAATAAAATTAAATATTTTTATCTCCAAAAATAATTTATTATTTTTTTAAAAATTACATTTTTAGATAATTATATTTTACATATAAACTATAATATAATTTATATAATGAATAAGATTGAATAAGATTCATTATTTTTAATAAAAAATATATTATAAATATATAAATATATTCTAATATAAATATTTATTTATATTAACTATTATAATAATTTTTAAAATTGTATACAGCTACTGCTCTACCAATCACTTTATTAAAATTTTTACTGAAAGCATACAGCTTCTGCAGCATACTGCTAATACTTTATCATCTGCCGTACCAATCGAGGCACTTAATTGACTAACACACCAATAGGGTTTGAATTATCCTTGAAGTTAGAAAGCTGCAGAATCCAATCTCTCTTAAAGTTGAGAAGCTCCTCTCGAAATGTGAGGTCTCCTTCCCTAGAAACCGGTGAATCACATTAGTGTTTCCAGTGCATTTTTTTTTTAACTTTCAGTGTAATTTGTTGAAGCAAAAAAAAAAAGTGGATACACATAAATTTATCGTGTTCATTAACTTCAACCTTAAAAAACAATCAGTACTGTCCAATTTTTGGTTTTGTGCAAGCTGCGGGAAATGATGCATTTATCTACTTAAGCACAAGTCACTGTTGTTGCCATGAAAATATCTACAAAAGAGATACAATAGAGAAATAATTTCAGAGATGTAAGGATCTTGAGAAAATAATTGATAACACAAAATGAAAAACACTCACTTTTGAGATGACAGTCTTTAGGAGGACACTCGACATTATTGGTAGCTTTGAATATTGTTAGGATTGTAAGTAGTAGAGAAAACGGATCCTTAATGATCATTAGGGCACCATAAACTTTACTCCATGACTGCGGAGTTCCCATTGGAAGAGACTCTGTCAGATCTCTAACGGAAAACATATATTAAGTGAAGAAGGCTGAATAATAGGAACGCGATATAATTAGGTCGTCTCTATTTTCGTTGACGATTTTACCCTTAATGAAATATGTGTTTTAAAGCAAATTTGATGGCACAAAAAGTAATATCTCAGGGAAGAGTAGGGGTAATTTCATAAAAAAAGATCATGTTTTAATAATATTTGATATTATGGATGATGATGATATTGTTTAATTTTTTTTGAATAAATCTTTTGTGAAATATACATTGTCACGTCTTTTATGGTTTGTTGCCATACCGGCTTAATTGAAATAGACACGTACTAAACCAATGTAAAACTACCAAATGAGATCATCTTCTTCATCTCCTGTGACTAATGAAAACACTCATACATGGAATAATGAGAAATATCTAAGATAAACTATGAACAAGAGATAACTCAATGTGAAAGGAATACGCTCGTTGAGGCAGGGACTCACGTTCTGATCTAGCCGGACACCTAACATCATGAGATTGGGATGACTAAATCTGATAGGTAAGGTAAACTATGAAAGTATGCTTATTCAATGGTCTGTTGATCTGCTGTGATAAGGTAAGCCGGATATAAGTTAATAGCATGAGTAAGATGATTCTTTGTGTATGTCAAGGCTGACCCACCATAGATGTTATACATGTTAGCTTATATGTAGGTTTTATTTGGTTTATGGAGAACGTAAATGTTTATTTTAGATGGTAGACATGATGGAACATTGTTTTATTGTTTCAGTACGATGTATAAACCGAGAAATATGAATTGATATGCATGTTAGTTTACATGTTATTGTAAAGCTAATATAGATTTAATTGAGTAGATTATATTAATGAAGTTAAAAAAAACTAGGTCGTTTTCCGCGCTACGCGTGGATAGTTCCTATTATATAATATGATTAATTTTTTGCATTTGTAATGTGTTTATAGAATATGACACATGAAGTATGTATCAGACTTTTAACTTTGTATCACAACTTGTGACTGCAAACTTAAACAAAGAGATTCTACAACATGAGCTAGTCCACAAGGAGTAGCAGTCATGAAGTCTCCAAGCCCATAGAGCTGTGGAATAAGTTAGTCATGTTGCTGGAGATGAAGGGGTGGCTATGTAAGAGAAGGCTAATCTTGGATATAAATTCAAATTTTTCTTAGAGGAGTACAGAGAGTTAGCCACAGAAGAATTGTTCATGAAGAACGAAGTTGTTATGCTTGCTAGGTGTGTACTTAAGAATGAGAGATGACCACTTCCACAATGTCTGCATCCTCCAGTTCTGCAGTTACTCGATTCAGGCATAAAGAAACACAGAACCCTGTATATGATAAGGTCTCAGCTGGATTCTTTGGCCTGGATAAGCATAAGACAAAGAAGAAGAAGACGGAGAACAAAAATGAAGAGAAAACTGGATTCAAGTGGTTGAATAAGCTGAACAACATTAAAACGTCTTTACAAAGTGCAGCCTTAACCGTCGACTTTTTAGACTTTTTAAACTTGCGTAATTAGTCTAACCTTTGTTGTATTATGCATACATGGTACATGATTACATATGTTCTACCGTCTTGTTACATCTTATATAACGCAAGTTTGTCTCTGTCTACAAATGTGTTTTTTACATGAGTAACTAATCTACAAAGAGCTAGTAACAGTAAATTACCCGTGCTAAGAGTTGTGTTATTCAACTCCTGTCGTTCATTCAATTCATTGGCTCCGATCGAAATCCCAGAAACCCATAAAGGTTTTAAACGAAGTATCAGGAAATAAACCAAAACAGTCTGAGGGAAACCAAAAGAACAAAAAAAAAAGAAAGAAGAAGAAGCAAATACCTTCGTTTTGGATCTTGGACTTGAGGAAACCCCTCCAGAAATATTACCGTGGTCGTACACCACAGCGGACACAAAGTGTCAACATAAATTTGGGGAACCACATCATCAAAGAACACGTTTGGGGAAAGAGAGGCCTTCGCTTTCCAATTCTTGGAAGCCATTGCTGGTGAAGGTCTGTCTGCGTTGATAAGAGGAGTTAGGCATCAATAAAAACTATGCTTTCCACTTGACGAATAGACTGATACATTGAAAATATTAAGTGCACGTAATATATGGTAAACTGATAGGTGATGAGGTGCTGACCTGGAAACGGAAGAAGAATAAGAAGGAGAGTGACCTGGCACCTGAAAAACAAATGGAAATGCCGATAAACTTGAAAAGAGAAAGAGAGTATCATATAGTATAAATAGATGATTGCTTGTAACAGAATCTTTAGGCATTTTGAGGTAGATGCCTGCAGAAGAGATTAGGACTCTCAGTAAAGCCTAGGATCTGGATATTGAATCATAGTTCTTGAATCTTGATCACTATATACTTGTGTTCTTATCATAAACACACTGGCAATACATCTTAGAGCCCAAAACAGATGTGGTCAGCAATAAAATCAACCAAATAATGACAAAAATTATAACAAAAAAAGATCCGATTTTTTAATCACAGTTACGTTGGCTTAGCTTCACCACACATGTCTTTGACCATGATGATAGTCATTTGTACTAACTGGCTAAGAAAACTTAAAGATAAGAGCAAATACTTCACGTTGAACCTGCCATGTGCTATGCATGTTCCATTGGAGTTGGGCAATACTCCAAACCCCTGCACTTGGTAATCCTTAAACATGCGCCGGCTTTAATCTCTCGGTCATAAGCTGAAATGCAGACATATATATAAAAAAGAGGATTTAAAAAATTACAATCACTAAATTATTATTCATATTTTCCCATTCTTTCCGCGCTATTTTACATTTGACTTCCAATCAATCATGTAGAAGACAGATGGTTTGGTCCATACGAAAACATAAAGAGAAAGTCCGAAATTTCTAGTAGACGTACCGATCCCCAAGATACCTAACTCATAAGTACAGTCATATACGCGAACACACCTTTAATAAACATGTCCATAGACATGTAACCACCTTCTGCCTGAAGGAGGGAAGCACCATAGCTTTCGCTAAGTCTGCCGAGGTAAACTGCGCAACAAAAAACAAAAACTTGAGGCAACACTCATCTATATTTGAAACCCACAATTGATCAAAAAAGAACCAATATAAGCAAGCATCAAGAAACGTTGAACCCACCTAAGAGCCGAGCTTGAGCTTGCCATGATTTTTGGCTGTAAAGAAAACATTAGAAATTCATCCATAACTTTAAGCAATGAGTGTTAAGAAAGATAGCAAAAAAAAATACCAGAACTACCTACGTCTCTGAGGCACAAATCAAAGAGTGGATACAACAATGACTACCTCCCTCTCTGAGAATATTGAATTGCTCTTTGTCACATCAAATGAACTTAGCTCATAGCCACCACCCTCTCTGAGGAGGCGTTGGAACGCGTGGACGCTAATTGATCACTGGATCATAGTGGACTGCAGCCTTCAAAAAAAAATTATAAATACAGTTATCTATTACAATAAGAGAAAGTAACAAAAGATTCAGTGACTTCTCGATCTATAAGAAAAAGAATATAAAACTGGAATCAAAGCGAAAGGAAATCATGAAGACAGAATTAAAGCCTAATTGATTGCAGAGGAGGAAGGGTACCGGAGATTGTAAGAAGATGATATTCACTAACTCAAAATCTAAATGGAAAGTTATGACAGGAAGGAGAGAAAAAGGTTTGCCGAAGAAGAGAGGAGACAAAGAGCTACGAAGAAGACGAATCGAGAAGTTGAGAGGCGTAGAGAAGAGGCAAACTTGACTTAATTTCGTCTCATTACTTGACTCAGTTTGGGCTCAATACAAAACATTCTCAAGCCCAGAAAAAAGAAAGCCCACCCGGATGACCCAATTAGATCTGACGTGGCAAATTGAAACAATCTTATTGGTTGATTAAAAAAGAGGACGTGGACAGCCTCATATCCCTTTAATAAGGGCTTTTAATCATAGTAGATAAGTATGTTTATATATTTAGTCACAATGTTATTCAATAGATCTAAAAAAATGCCAAGGTAATTTTTAAATAGGACCCTTAATTAATAGATTAGACTTAAGGTTTTTGCCAAACATTACAATATAATTTATTTTGGAAATGCTCTAAGACAAATGTAGTCACTTACCATATACTTCAGGTCAATTTAAGAAAAGTCATCAATCGACCAAACCGTAATTGACATGAAAACCGACCCTAACCGAACTAAACAAAAAAAGGTTGAGGTGCCACGAAAACCGAACAAAAAAAAGAATATATTAACGAGGTGGTAGAATAGAGGAGCAGAAAGGAAGAAAAAAATATAGCAAAAGAAAATATAAACCCTAATCTCATTCTCATGTACCTAGTTCCTGAGCTACTAGAAGAGATCTTCCTTATACTGCTATTAGGGATATATATCCCACATCAGGAATTCAATGGGACCTTAAGTAATATATAAAGGGTTAGAGCCAATCCACTTATCACCGAACGGAACTTTAAGACAGAAGAGAATCTAAGAAATACTCCGGTTGAAGGGTTTAAAACGTTCATCCAGCCTGGTACTGGGATGCAGACAAGACCGTCACATGACAGCGACGGTCGTGAGGCTGCGGCACTGCAGTGTAAGTAGACTATCTCGATCTCTTCGTCGCCTTGGAATTCATGTTGGATTATGTTTCCGTCTACTGCCACCATGATTTCCGGCTTCTTTTTAATATTCACCATACGTCTCTTCTCTGCGAATCTCCTCGACTCAAGTATTGATCTCCATTGTTTTGAGACGGTTTTGAATTTGTGGATGGATTTCAATGGCAGTTATTAGGGATATATATCCCACATCAGGAATTCAATGGGACCTTAAGTAATATATAAAGGGTTAGAGCCAATCCACTTATCACCAAACGGAACTTTAAGACATAAGAGAATCTAAGAAATACTCCGGTTGAAGGGTTTAAAACGTTCATCCAGCCTGGTACTGGGATGCAGACAAGACCGTCATATGACAGCGACGGTCGTGAGGCTGCGGCATTGCAGTGTAAGTAGACTATCTCGATCTCTTCGTCGCCTTGGAATTCATGTTGGATTATGTTTCCGTCTACTGCCACCATGATTTCCGGCTTCTTTTTAATATTCACCATACGTCTCTTCTCTGCGAATCTCCTCGACTCAAGTATTGATCTCCATTGTTTTGAGACGGTTTTGAATTTGTGGATGGATTTCAATAGCAGTTATTAGGGATATATATCCCACATCAGGAATTCAATGGGACCTTAAGTAATATATAAAGGGTTAGAGCCAATCCACTTATCACCAATTGGTTTTAAGTTGGAAGCCCATAATAAACCCGAATTTAACATGGTATCAGAGCGATAAGATCCTTTGACCTAATTTACTACAACTACTACTACTATACTTAGGGCCAATACACTAATCACCAATTGATTTTAAGTTGGAAGCCCATCTATGTTAACATGTTATCAGAGCCCAGATCATAAAAGCCCTAAACTCCTAATTAATTAATTAACCTTTCCGACCGGCTATATAGGTCGTGTTTAACCTTCCGACTAGGTATAATTGTCGTATTTGACTCGCTCGACCGAGTATAACTGTCTTAAAGTTCGAGATTTCTGGCCGATAAGAGCCATCATCTCGAGGAAGGGTATTAGGGATATATATCCCACATCGAGAATTCAATGGGACCTTAAGTAATATATAAAGGGTTAGAGCCAATCCACTTATCACCAATTGGTTTTAAGTTGGAATCTCATAATAAACCGAATTTAACATGGGTTAGAGCGATAAGATCCTTTGACCTAATTTACTACAACTACTACTACTATACGATGATGTTGATTTCTTAGATGATTTCTTAGATGTATTCCCTAGATTTTGGAGGATGGGATTTGGTAAAGACAACATCACTGGTATATATAAGATAGTGAGGATGTGTTTTAACGATCATTGGAAGATTCAACGTTGCGAGATTCTTGACGTTAACATTGGGAGATGGCGGAGACTGAGGCCACCTCCTTACGAGGTAAAGTTTAGAAGGAAGTCTACATGTGTGAATGGATCCATCTACTGGATAGAAGTAACTCCTCGATACAAACTTTTAGCTTTGAATCTTCACAAAGAGAAATGGCGTGACGTTACACTACCGTCGGGAGCACTAGGAACTTCATGCCAGGTAGCAAATCTTGAAAACCGTCTAGCATTAGCTGCAACCTATATTGAGAACCATCATTGGTACGTGAAGATATGGTGCATGCATGCACCAGAAGAAGAAACATGGAGTTTGATTTACTCCATAAGTTTATTCCCTCTCCAGCACCGTCTCGACAACAGTATCCCTTTATAGTTTTGGACTAGCAGTGTTGGTTTCTAAAACAGGAAATCTTTTCTTTATTGACAATTACAAAAGGTTGTTCAAATATTATCCAGAGACTGATGAAGTTTCTCGCGTTTATGGATATATTTGTGTGATATCTCCCTTTGTTGAAGATGTGTTCACCCTTGGACGTTGGGATTCTGTTCCGGACATGAGGAGGACATATGGACTTGAACATTTGGATCATGTGCCTTTCTCCTCCAAGATATCCAATTTCTTCAGACGGATGGAATTTAAGATCCCGAGTAGATTGGTACTTGCCACCACTATTGTGACTCTTGTAATGTTACGTTGTTCCATTTTGTCTAGGTCTTGATATTGCCTCGAGGGAGTGGTGTGGCCTTTGTTTTTCTTTATTTTTCAAAAAAAATAGTTTTGTTGACTAAGCAAACATGTATGTTCTTCAGCTGTTTGTCTCTCCCATAATCACTTTCTTATATGCAGATGTACAAACTCAATCATGGATTTCTCTTGCAATCAATTTCTCATATATAATATGTATCTAAAATTGTTTCCTTAACATTTGTATCAATGGAAAATGATTTATCATGGTAAATTTTTGTCATCTCCCATGTGTTTTAATCTTTTCACGGTTGGCATCTTCTATTTTATATAATATATTTTTTGGTTGAATGAGTCAATTTTCTTGAAATTGGTTCAGATTTACCACTCTCAAAATGACAACCGTGCAGCAGTTTCTGGTGATGCGGCTGTAGTGGAGCTGTGGAGGCGGCCAGAATAGCACAAGAGATGATGACATCTCTTTACATCGGCGATCTGGACATGAACAACTGTTCGAAACGTTTAGCCAAGTGGGTAAGGTGGTTTTATATCTCTTTGCTCAGGCTAAATTATTTAAGCTGCTTCTTAAGGTAGTAAACATCTTAAAGTTCTCTGATGGGTTCATAGTGCATTGTGATAACAGGTTATTGGTTTAATCTAATAAAGGTTTCTCGGTTTAATTATCTTTTCTATTCGCTCTTTTCTTTTCTCCATATATTCATCATCCCTTTAACATTCTTTTTAGGTTTTGAGCGTAGCAACACATATGGATATAGCTTTGTCTACTTTTTATTCAAATTCATATATCTATGCTTCTCAAAGTAATACTCTCTTACTCTTTTTGTATTTTTCAGCTTGAAATTTTTTTAATGAATTATTTGTAGGAAAAAGAAAGGATAACTAGGCTCCATATATAGATTGACCATGGAAATACCAGGGTAAATACCTTTGCACTTTTGTTTCAGTTAACATGGAAAGTTTTAGAGTATTTGCAGTGTACACATTAACTCTTTACCTTAATTAGGTGTATACCCATTTTCCTCTTACTCTGATTTCATCGAAATAAAGTGGACATTTCTACCGCTACTTGTATTTATCCGTTTCAACCTATTACTTTTTTTATTTTTAATGTTATTCTGTTTGACCAATGTTATTCATTCTCGTTCCTTTCACTTACTAAAACCTAGATTTCATACTAAAATGATGGATGTCTGAGAAGACTTTTTCCTTTCAAATTTTAGAAAAGATTTCTGTCACTAGATGAAAACGAGCTAAAATCTTCTGACAAATTTACTTAAATCCTCTTCTTTTTTTTTCCAAACATGGAAAGCACGACGATCTGATCCCTTGGAATTGACGTCTCCATTATCTCCACCAGCAAAGCATCATCTCAGTCCTTCCTTTGCATCACCTCCTATCTCTGTTGCACTCCATCAGATCCGATCTACCTTCAAACTCTTACAATATCCTCCCCAAGTTTGAACCCCACACCACACCTAAACTATTACTGGTGTGGACATTTACTTAATTTGCAGAGATCCTCTCCATTGTATTTTCTAGTTAATAGTATTATTTTTATGTCTTACAAAAAAAAAAAATATTTTTATCTGAGCAATGAATGTTTTATCCGTTCAAAAATGTTTTCATGTTATTATTGTGTTTTGTTTTAGCCGGCTACACACCATCAATATAATATAACAATCACATTTATTGCTTGCTATTATTATTTTTAGCTGAGTTCTGAATATTTTATCCAGTCAATAATATTTTTAATGTTTTGTGTTACCTAGCTAATATTATGTTTTAAGATTCACATAAAATTTTAGCCGGCTACACCATCATATAGTATAACAATCAAATTTTTTTACATGTTTGTCTACTATATAATTTACAGATGATATTCCTAAATCTAAAAATTAAATGTCATTTAACTAAATGTAACCATCAAGTCTTATATTATGTAGTTTACGTAACTTTATATTGATATATGCAAATATTATGTATATAAAAAATTTATCTTATTTAATAAGATTATATACTGAATATCCATCTTTGTATGATAATAACAAGTAAATATTGTGTTAGCAGTGTAATATAAAACTAACCATCCATATTTTTCACACAAACACTCAATAATCAGTCGACAAACACTCATCCAAACCACAACCTGAATATATCGAGTCAGATCTAGTTCACGCGTTCATAATTAATCAGCCTCAATATATAACTTGAGAGATCAGAAACATGAATTTACTCTAAATATCTAAATAAACAAGCAAATATTTACTTGCATGTGAAAGAGAATCAAGCAATCTGATATGAAAACAGAGATACATGCATCTGTTTGGAGCTTACTTTTTCTTAAATCCAATGAAGAAAAATATAAGAACATACAAAAGTTTACATAGAAAATAGAAAAGAAAGAAAACAAACTATTTGAAATTATAACAGAAAACAAGAGATAGCAAGTGGTAGCAACTTTACGGTGAAAAACATGTTTCAGTAAAGAGAGAGAGTGTTTTTGTTAGTTTGTGATTTAGTATAATATTCGGCCTATGACACATTTGTTCCTTAAATGAGAGAAGGTCATTTTCGTCATTTCTCTGCTTGCTATTGAGAGCCCGCAAAATTTGTGATTTGGGTATTTACCTAATTACTATATTCTTCTTGTATTTTAACTCAATTCACTCAAAGCTTTAATGTAACTGATTTTTTTTGGACTATATTTTTCTGTTAATTATTGATATAAGGCAAAAAAAGGCTAGCTCATTTTGCCTTTAAGAAACGTGAAGATGGTAGTATATCAGGGGCTGTGGGGACGAGACTAAGGTACATTATTTTGTTTAACAGAGATATTTTAGTTTACCGAGATATTTTAGTTTACCGTTGCCTGTAATTTTCTAGACATAATGTCCACAATTTTGTGACTGCAAATACAAATTAACACTCTTCAGCGCATCTTAGTAAAATACCATCTATCTATGTAGTGTCTTTTAACCAAAAAACTAGATTTTGAACCCGCACATCTGTGCGGGTAATTTTTCATTTTATAAAAATATAACAAAATCTTTCAGATATATCATTTACATTTTATTTTTATATTGTATAACTATAGAATCTTATTATTTTAATTATTTTATATAATATATTGTTGTCATTTTTAAAAAATATCAAATATATTTTTTTAGATAATGTATTTGTTGTGAATTACAAAAATATATGTCAACATTTTTTGTATAAAAATATTACATGATTTAAAAAAATTAATATGTTTTAACAGTGAATAAAAGAAAATTTTAAAATAAAATATTTTTTTTACCAATTTAATATATTTTTATATTAATTTCACATAGCATTTTATTTTAATATAATATAGAAAATCATTAAATTATAACATATACCAATTTTTATTTTTAATTAACATTAATATATATATATATATATTTATCACGAAATTAAATAATATATATTTTATAAAAATATTTAACTTTCTTGGTAAGATCTTGTTAGATATTTTCTCAACAGATTTTGTTATAAATGAAATTAAAGATAACTTTATAGTTATATATTATTAAAATATTTCTTCAGTAATATATATTTGGTTGATTAATATAAATAATCAAATATGTTATATTAATGAAATAG